AGAATAATAGCTCTCAGTTTGTAAGAGAATTTACTAAATGAGTGCCTATAAATGAAGATGCTGACATTAAAGGTCAAGGCAGGAAGTCTTAAACTTGCACAGGAGAGTAATTCCTTAATACTACAGTTAATCATAGTACACTTGTCTTCCATCAAATAGCCAGGCAAATTTTAGCCCTTTTTCTCCCCCACTGTCTTTGTGGTAGTGAGTGGTTAGGGCTCTCTTTAAAGCCAAAGATGTTTTGAGGGTCAGGGTTGGCAACTGCTATAGATAGATGGACATTGATGTCTCTGTTCCTCCCACACTGTGACTTGGCCAGTGTTCCAGATCTTGCTTGCCCATAAAAGACTTTTGTTGGGCTTTTCCAGGGCCCATAGCTGTACAATGAATTCACATAGGGTGGGGAGATGAGGGAGGAAGGTTTGGGGGTTGCTTTTGTTTTCATCAAGCTTGGATTCAGTCAGGGTACTCTAAAAGGATAAATCAACCACTGGCAAAGCAAAACGTGTCTTTTTTAGACAGCCCCCCTGCAACTCCCTACAAAAAAATGAGGGATATTGACTGTGAAGCCAGCATGTGACTCAGAGCATGATATAATGCCTTGAGACTGGAGCTAAAAATGATTGCACCACAAGTCATCAAGGAGGTGGTAAATACTGCCAGGGCTGCTAGCGATGGAAAGGTGCTCTTGCTCTACTTCTTGATCTAACTGTTGATGTCACTCTTCTCTGTTGAATTGCAAGTCACAGCCTCCCATGCAGTTTAAAAGAGCCTAATGATGACATAATATTACAGTAGTTAAAAAGAGAAAATGCTAATGGATGAGTACAATGTGGAGAAAATAGTCCAAGTGATAGAGACCTTAACTATTTAAGAACATTAAACATAAAAGCAATAATGTCAGTGCAAAGGAAATGATGTGAAAATGTCATAGGCTGCTGAGATTCATACAAGGACTCACCTTCTCTCAGCAGTTTGGACACTTATATTACTTCAGTTTTATCCTGCTTTCCTTCTGTTATTTATCATCTTTTGTGCAAGAATGCAAATAATGGTCTATAGAGCACCTTCCAGTGAGGCATGCTTGAGTAAAACAGCAAAGGAAATACTGGCAGCATCAGCAGGGAAAGGGAAGAGAGACAGCAGAAGGGAAGGGAAGTGGCTAACAGCAAGAGGTAGCTTAAGACCACTACATTCCATACAGGAATCCTTTCCATCTGTCCAACCACACATCAAGTTGACAGTAAAGAAATTGTACCAGATATTTATTATATTCAATGCATACATACATGTATATGTGCTTGCATACACACACTTTTTTAGTATTTCATTGGTTTTAAAACTCAACCACAAAGAACTCGGGGAAATTGAGCATTTTGGTTTGACTGTATCTTTAACATATTTGTGACCGTGGACACTAATTATCATAAAAAGGATAAATACACATTTTCCTCATCCCATTAAACTCTTAATCTCAAATTCAGTAAAAAAATATTAGATTCTCACAACCAGTAGAAACATTCAAATTCAGATCAGCTGCATCAACTTTATCTGGGAGGGGTGGTGTTAATTCAGGAATACCACAGGTGAAATCAGAATGCATCCCAATGTTTCGAGAAGAATGATTGTGCTTAATTTTCCTGTGCTAGATATTTGTAATAGAGATTGCTTTCTGCAACTATCACATCCATATTAGTACTGTGACTGTTTAACAAGACAGAGTCTGCATCATGGCGTAATAGCTGTCTCTGTGAATCACTTAGAGATGTTAACAATGACCTTTCTTGTAAGGGCAAGATAAATTAGACAGCCAAGAGGTCTTTAGAGCAATTTGAATTGTTCACCTACCAGGATGAGTTTGATGCACGTGTGTCTGTGAATTTTAGGTGATTTTTATATAATCTCATAAGTCCTAACTTTGATGTGGGTGGGAGGAGTGGGGGAGAAGGTTGTGAAGCACTAGAGGGACACATTTTCTTCTTTATATATTTTTTATTTTGTTTTGTTGAGGTTTTTTTTCCTTACACATATTAAATAGATATTAAATACCCCACTTGATTTGCAAACTGACCATTTTGGAACATGAGTTGTTTTAACAGCTTTTGACAGTTGCTCAAAAAAGAGGCTAAAACATATGCAAAACCATTGAGTATCCAGTCTTTACAATTTGAGAACCCTTGAACTCACCACATTTGGATTTTATGTCACCCTCAGGCAGACATTAATCTCTTCTTGCTTCTCTGTAAAATACAACCCTGGAAAAGCTGAATTCTAAATACCTTTTCACAGAAAATTTTCACAGATGTTAAATTTAAATACATTGAAATAATGCTTGTTCTCTTAAGTTCTGGTAGATCTACTCTTTAGATATACTCTAAGGAAAAATCACTTTTTTTGCTTGCCATGTATTTCTTTACAGTGTTTAAACTCTAGTCCCGTATCCTTGTTGTACTATAAAAGCAGATGTTTCACAAGCTTAAATAAAAAGCTTTAATACTATGACTTCTGTGTCTAGGAGGAGTACCTGCAGGAGAGACCTGCAGGCTGGGATCAAGATCCATTCATTGATACACACACTTTAAGAACATTCATCTAGTTGCTTTGCATCCAGGTCTAGTGGGAGGTGTCCATGCCCATGGCAGGGGAGTTGGGACTAGATGATCTGTAAGGTGCAACCCCTAAAATTCTATGATTCTATGGTTTTAAAAATTTGAACTGCATCTTCCAATAAAAACTTACCTCAAAATTCTAGAAAAGTTAAAAATCACATTTCTACACTGGCAGAGATTTAGACTGGACACTAGGAAGCATTTCTTCACTGTGAGGGTGATTCAACACTGGCTTCCTAGAGAGGCAGTCAATGCCCCAAACCTGACAGTGTTAAGAGCATTTGGACAATGCCCTTAACAACATGTCTTAACTTTTGGTCAGCCCTGAATGAGTCACATAGCTGGGCTAGGTGATCACTGATCATGAAAAGATATTCTATTATATTCTGTTCTTATCTGTTGAACTTTTCCCCCTATCCATTGCCTATTGAGAAGGTAGGGTATTTTTAACTCAAAATCTTGATTTCACGAAGATTACTATCACAGACCACTTTACCTGGGAAACAAAAAACTGTTTTGCAGTATATTGGTCTGTAATAAATGCCAATAAATGGATTCTCATATTCTGGTATAAAAACACATTTATCTAATTTAAATTAATCTCTTTTGGAATTCCATCATTAACTGCAAAGAATAATTTTCAACAATTAAGAAATAATGAACACTAAAGTGAGGCTACAATTCTTGAAATGGAGAACATACATCAGTGAAGATGATGAAGAAAATATAGTGTCTGGCCTTCATCCTTTTTTGTTCACTACTCACAGACTAGAATAAGAATTAGATACTTGTAGAAGCAAATAATAAAACCAAGTAACATTGATTTCCTCTTCTGTCCTATAAAATTATTGATCTGTTTCTAACCTAATTGGCACTTGTGAAAATAAATGGAAAAAAAGAGTAGGCTATTTGTGGGGTTCAAGTATTTGTTCTCAGTAAGAGTCCTAGGCCTGCTTGTTCAGGGCTGTGTTGGCTGTCTTAACAAGCTAAAGATCTGAGTGCTGTAGCATTCTGTATTTGCTTTGTTCTTCTTCTCTTTAATCTCATGTTTCTAATTATTTCTTGTAATTCAGAGAAGTAACTGCTAAAAAATACCTTAATGTATTGATACACAACAATTGAGTACATACTGCAAAGACAGTATTTTTTCCGTAAAAGTCTTATCTAACATAAAACTGGACAGCTGATTAAAGGAAAGAGATAATAAAAGAGGTTTTCAGTTTAACCCATCAGACTTTGTGGGAAGCAAAGTAACATCATTTCTCCTATATCTTGCCTATAGACATTTTTAATGTTATACTTTCCTGTACTACAGAATTTACTATATAGAACCCAAAAGCTGTTTCCTCAGTATTGATCTGCAGATATTTTGTTTGTGAGAAAATTTGCAGACAGGTAGGCCCCTAATTCACATGCATAAATATTTGCATGTTTAAGGAATGAATTAAATCTCGGTCTAAACTTCACACACTTTCGTTTAGGCAAAGCACTAAAGGTATTTCACATATATTCAGTGACAGTATTTGTATTGGCTTTAACAAGCTTTGGTGCAATCTCCAAGATTTATAGTTCGATGTTGAGCTTGATGCTTGAAAGTACATCAAGTGAAATTTTATTGCCATCAGAGATGTTGTCCTGAAGCTTAAATCTATGTAAGAGTTATCAGAATCAGGACAGTTAATTACAACTCAGGAACACTGATATAAAGGCTTTCCGTTGTTTAAAAAAAAATGGATAAAACTGTATGCTTTGCCTTGGTATTTGATATAATTTATTTAATAAATATTTTAACATGGTGAATTGAAATTTTTTTTAAAAGAAGGATACAAGTGTTTACAGACTTATAGCTCAAACTTTATTTGGGGTGATCATTTAATTCATAGCAAGCATTTTAGTAAAATGCTGTCCTCACAGGACTGCTGAAGATTGCTGTCCCATGTTTACATCTGCAATGCAATAGCTCCTATCAAGACAGATGATTCCACATCTGTTTACCAGCATCCCTAAAGGAAAATTGTGTTTTAAAACCTGTTTAAAACACTATTGCGAAACCAGCTTTACCTAGCTCACTTGGATTTTAAAGCTGGATATTTGTGTGCTCCTTTGGGATAAGATTTGGACCTTCCCTCCAGTAGAATTTCTTTGTAGAAGAATTGCATGTGTATGTTATTTTGCATGCTGTAACAGTGTGCATATGTGAAAAAGAGAGAGAGGAAAAGAAATGTAGATTCCAATTCCATTATATGGTTCTTGTGCCTGTTTGCAGAAATTAGCCATGGATATGTTTTTAGCATGGCTAAAGCTGTGGCTGTTAGTAAGGTGATTTATATCTTATCCCTCTGTGCTAATTTAATGCTGTTGTTTTCTCTGTCTGCTCTTGTAACAAAACAGAAGTACTCTGCTGTCTCTCTCTGCAACATATCTACAGAAGTCCTGAAAGTCATCAATGCCACTGAAGAACTGATAGCAGAATCCACTGATCCCTGCGATTTCCCAGATGACATTCAGGACAGAGGAAGAGGGACCCTCCCACTGGGGACAGACCCTGTCAGACTTGATGAGCAGCTCACCACACTGGAAGAAAATGTAAGAACATAAATCAGTATTTTGGAAAGTTACATGTGTGAGTGAGTGTACCTATGTATCTCCACCAACTTGAAAGGGAAAGCACATGGGCAGCATCAGAGGATGTTCCCAATGAAACTGGGGTTATTAAACAAATACACAAACAGAACAAAACAAATCCTATTTCAACAGGTGCTTAGCTGTGTTGGTGTGGGGTTTTTATGTGTACTTTAAAATACTGCAGGGAGGGGGAGCTGGATGCTTTGTGGTTTACAACTAAATTTAGAATATCTCAAAAGCTAACTTAAGAACTCAGAACCTCTGTAGCTGTGTGGCTGTGCCATGCCTTGCTGAAACCACGTTTCCCCATCTCAGTATAGCCTCATTAGTTCAAGGACAGGTGGGCAAAGCATGTCTCCAGTCACACAGTGAGGTGGAGAGCTCTCTCCCACACCATGTGCTCAGCACCCAGGGAGCTGGAGCTACCTCCTGCACTATTAGAAAGAGAACCTGAATTAAAGAAACATTTGTTTGGCCAAATCCACATCATCTGTCCTTTTTCATGAGTACCTGTCATCTGCAGGAAAAAGTACAATGCTGAATCACAGAGGCAAGTCAGTATTCATTGTAAATTTTTTATTTTAATGGAGTTGGTACACTTGTAATTTTCGATTTTCTCTTCTTCCCATGTTTAAGTGATTATATTTCAGTGATTTTTCCCTTCATTAGGAGCTCTTAAAGATCTCGTAGGCATCTGGGCTGTCCCATTATAACATCCTGATCAAAGAAAACAAGTCTGGATTTTCTTTAGCACCAGAAAATTTTCAGACAGAATCTCTTCTTGGGAGATAAAATTAGTTTATTTCACAGAAACACACTTCCAGAGAAGCCTCGGGCCAAGAACTGAGTGGGAGATAATCTATGACAGTAACAGCCAGTCCTGGCACTGGGTCTGTCCTACTCCAGAGCCCCTTCACCAGTCCCACAACTCCCCACTCCTCTCACCACACCTTTTCAGAGCTCAAATCTCCCAGCCGTGCTCTGGGTTGGAGGTTCTCAAACTAGATCCTATACCTCCTAACCTCATCTGCTCCCTTTCTCCCTGTCTGCACTAACAGGATGCTCTCCAACCCACTCCCTGCTCCCCAACCACCTCCTGATCACAACCTCTCCTCCCCACCTCTGCTCAGCCTTACCAGGCCTCTCGCCCTGCCATCTGAGGTGTTCCTGCTTCTCTTCACTCCCACACACTGTCCTGGGTGCTGATATAAGTCACAGCATGGTCATAAATTGTTTGAATACCTGTTATGTCAAAGGACTGCATCATCTAGGAATTGGGGGAGATATAATGACAGGAGTGGAAGACGTGTATGAAGTGAAGGTATTGGCTCAAGGATCTGGTTCAGATCCTGTTTGCTTGCCCCTTGAACCATGAACTTAACCACAGAACTTGTTTAATTCATGCTGGATTTTTAGCAACGTGGTCTTTACTGCTATTACAGTGAGTGAAGCTGCCAATGGGGAAAATCAGAATATATATTTCATTTCACTGTGCTGTTATCAGCCTCATGGATACAGTCTCTTGGCTAACTAGTAAATAGGCAGAAAGTGCAGTATTTTCACATGGTTCTGCACAATTTTAAGCACAGGTGTCAATAGCTGATGCTTTTCTATAAACCAGAGACCTCCACTCAGCCATCTTTGTGAAATAAAAGAAACAATAAAACGCAGTGTATTGTGAATTATCGCTCTGAGGAGCTGAATGGGAAATGAAACCTTCAGCTATAGTTATCAGAGGTATCACAGGTGGGCCAAAATACCAGAAGTTGTTTGGTTTTAGGGAAGAACTCTAAATTACAAAGTCAGTAATTCTCTTTTATGCAGCCCAGTTAAGTCTGTTGATCCTCCACAGAGTCACTCAAAGGCCCAGGAGGTAGAAATGTTTTGCCTGCTGCATATTTGGGTGAGAGCAGGATGGGATGGAAAACTGGTATACATATAAGCACAGTTACTCTGTAAGAAGTTAATAACTATGTGCTTCTGAACAGTTATTCATGCAGTTTTGATTGTCAGAAGGCATTAGGCATGTTTCAATAAACACAGCTTTGTATGAGATGTGACCTGTTGATTTCCCCTTGTAGATTTATGGGATTTGTTATGCAAATATATAAATATTATA